ATTTACAGCATTTGGTTTATCGTACTCCTGTTCGCGATGTAGAGGACTTAAGAAACCGCATCATCGATGCGTGCAGGGTAATCAGAGATACTCTAGGAATATTTGAGCGGATACGTGGCTCAATGCGCTAACGTCTAGACGCATGCGTAATGTCTGAAGGTAGACATATTGAACATTTACTATGATTTCTACATATTGTGTGTTTTGTTATTATTAAATTAGTTTTTTTATTACCCTTTGATCGTTTAATGCAGGTACTAACTACAAAATAACAATAAATTCAGTTCGCATTTATGATGATGTATCTCTGTAGTTGTTAGTAAAATAATTTTTTGCTGCGAACTGGTTTATTTTGGGCAAAAAACCCAGGAGACATTTTTTGTTTAGAATGAAACAGGCTATCGGAAATGGTAAACAAATAATGAGACAAAAAGTTACATTGGAAATAAATTTTAGGGTTTGCGTTTTCCACCCCTTACAACCATGGGGTAAACCAAATAAATTACTGGCTGAGTGTAGTACAAAACGTCAGGTCAATTTCAATATTGTTACCTTTTCAGTGCTTATGAAAAAATTGTTATACAAATTTTATGTACCCCTTTAAGGGGCTGCATCTTAACAAGGGATGCTCCAATGAAGTTTCTTTATATGAAAGATCCTATCTTTTTTTCGATGAGGAATCACCTTCTTGAATGTTTTACACTTATTCAGTTACACCCTGTATAATAAACAAGTATAATTGAGAAACATATATCAGATGTTATTTTGAATTATTGTATAAAGTTATTGGATTTCATTAAGCGTATCTACTATTAATCTATATATCAAAGAAAATGAATGTAAGCAATAGATAGTCACGGCTGCAGGACAAATAGTGGTATTAAAGAAATAATAGGTTAGGTACTGCGGATTCGGCTGCGTATGGTCTATACATGAACAAATAGTATCGACGAGATGGAGGATATGGCAGATATCCTTCAGTTTTTGAAAAAACAAAAAATACAGAGGAAAGCAAAGGAAGAGTAGCAAAGGAAGGGAAAGAAAAAGATAACAATTGATTTTGATGATGAAATTAAAACAGAAGGGAACGGAGAATATGTTGAAAAGACGAACACGGTAGAATAAGAACTCAAAAGAAAAAAGATGAAAAATAATAGGAACTAGAGAAGGAAAAAAGAACAGGAACAGGCAAAAAATTGTTATGCTTACAACTGGAAACGCAAAAGCAAAGAAGAACAAACTTCTAAAGGTGACAATTTTTGTCGATCGTTAAAATCATGGGGCATCCACAGCATCCACATTCTGAGCTTTTTGACCTTTCAAATACGTTTTAAACCATCAAAAACTGCATGGGAGTTGTCACCCAGTTCTTCCACCATACCACGCACCATTTGTGATGCATGCCATGCAACAAATTCGAACAAGTCATAATTGGTATGAATATGACAATTGTTCTAAATTGAAAAAGGCATATTTTTAGAAGAGATTACTTTTGGAAACAGAAAGGTTTTGTCTTTTCTGAAGTTATATAAAGTTCACAAAGTTATATATTTTTGTCGTAAATTATGTATAATAATATAATTTCAATATTTCGAAAGTATTTTTTCTTTCGTGTAATTCAATGTGTTGAAACGTCTCAGGAATTTGTTACCTGATATTAAGGATTCTATGATTTTATTATTCATGAACCCATGTATCCAGAAAGAATCTTAAATATTCATTTGTTTTTGTTGCTCTTTATATAAGTTTGAAATTGGAAACTTGTACAGTAATGGTATTCGGTCACCATAGATAAATTTTACAACTTAATCCTCAGCAAATTTCCCACTCCTATTGTTAACTCACTCAAGAGCCTCTGTTTTCTAATTTATTGTGACGACCCTTATAATCCGGTCAATCTAGACATTGGAAGGTACATAAATTTACAAGCTGCAAACGCGTGTAATTGTTCAAAACATAGTTAAAAATAAGATTTTAAAATTCCGAATGATTGCGATACCTGGAAAAAAATTTATTCGAGGTCAAAGATTAAAAATCTCGAAAAAAATTGGTTTTTCGCGATATTCAGGAAAATGGTAAGTTTTATAATGAAAGATAAAAATTGTAGATCATAAAATTCTCTACAAAACATGTATCAATACTTTTGTTTTCTTACAGCCACCGTTTCTGAGATACGACGAGTCAAAAAGTTGTAAAACTTGTAATCGTTATTATATGCACACGTTTCCAGCCACCTATGAGGTAATGTACTTAACGCGTTTTTTTTTTAACGTGGTTTGCCCGCTAGGCCTATTCCACATGTCTGTTGTGATTGTGTCAAATTGAAAGCTTGCATAATAAAATATATTAGGGAGGGTTGGAAATTATAAAAGCGATTGAAATTAAAACAATGTACCTAAACATTTATTCATCTGAGTCATAACCTTCAAATACTTCTTCTTGTCGTTGTTCTTCTTGGTAGTCTTCTTCTTCTTCTTGATCTTCTTCTTCTTCTTGATATTCATACTGGGT